GGGAGAGGAAGAAAAACCCAACCAGGGCACTGACTAATGATTCAGCTCCTAAACTCATGGAAGCCTCCAGATTGGAGGAACATATCAAGGACCAGCCAGGCAGCAAGTGAAGGCTCTGATGAGGAATGTGTCTTTCTAGATGACAATGGCAAGTGCTGTTTGTGAGAGTAGGCCAAGCAGTTGGGAGTATTAGTTCCGTTATCCTGAGAGTAGTGAGCCTGGGAAGGTTGGCATCTCAGTCCTTGCGGAAGGAAGCAGTGTGAGTGATGGGCTGGGGACTTAAATCTCAGCTTCTAGGCTGGGCGTGGTGGCTCACGCCTGTAATCCCAGCACTTTGGGAGGCCGAGGTAGGCAGATCACGAGGTCAAGAGATCGAGACCATCCTGGCCAACATGGTGAAACCTTGTCACTACTAAAAATACAAAAATTAGCAAGGCGTGGTGGCACATGCCTGTAGTCGCAGCTACTCAGGAGGCTGAGGCAGGAGAATTGCTTGAACCCGGGAGGTGGAGGTTGTAGTGAGGCAAGATCGTGCCACTGCACTCCAGCCTGACACCTGGCAGCGGAGTGAGACTCTGTCTCAAAAACAAGAAAAAAAAAAATCCCAGCTTCTAGTGTATATTTCCTTATTTAATTCTGTTTCTCCCATTGCCAGTTTCAGCAGAAAGTCCAGAGCCTGAAGGAGGCTTACTATGTTTCCCAAGAGGCCAATAAAAATTCTATAGCTTCTTTGCTCAAAACCATAGTGTTTCTTTAATTATCAAACTTTCCATAGGGCATGAATAATTTGGAAATTGCAAAACTCTAAGAATGCGATAAATCAAGAATTATACTGGGCTGCTTCAGGTAGGGCCTGGTGAGTTTCTTCTCTTATTCTAGGCAGAACATGTAACCCATCTCAAGAAGTTCATTTCAGTGATTCCACGAGCATTTATGAGTGTCTGCTGTGCATTGGATATAATTCCAAGCTCTGAGGATATAGAAGCACCCTCTACCCATTGCTCCTGTGGTGGTAGATTTGTTTTTTGTTTTTGTTTTTGTTTTTGTTTTGAGACAAAGTCTCACTCTGTCACCCAGGCTGGAGTGTAGTGGTACAATTTTGGCTCACTGAAACCTCTGCTTCCCAGGTTCAAGCAATTCTCCTACCTTAGCTTCCCGAGTAGCTGGGATTACAGGCACCCGCCACCATGTCTGGCTACTTTTTGTATTTATAGTAGAGATGGGGTTTCGCCGTGTTGGCCAGGCTGGTTTCAAACTCCTGACCTCAAGTGGTCACACCTGCCTCTTCCTGGTGTGAGCCACTGCGCTGGCAGATAGGTTTGTTTTAAGGTAAATACATTTCATATTCCAGAAGTATTGCAGCAATCAAAAAATTATTTCTTTTGGAAAAAAAGAAAATCCATAATCCTACCTCCCCAACATAGACTGCTTTCATTTTTGTGTGTCCCTTTTATGAAATCTTGTCTTTAAAATCCCTAAGGAAGTAGCTTCGATGATTTTTCTTAGTCACATCATTAAAGTCTGGGCGTGAGGTGAATCTCTTTAGCCGTAAGCGCTTTCTGTAAGTTCATCCAAAGTCCCACCATGACAGCAAGGCCCTGAGCAGTGGAGCCCCTGGCACCTCTCTGATTTCATTTCCTGCCATTCTCTTCATTGATGGCTGCCCCTTTTCTCACATCAGCCTGCTCCTACCTCAGGGCCTGTGAACTTGCACTCCTCTGTCTGATCTTCCCTCTGATATTCACACAGCTCACTCCCTCACTTCCTTCCAGTCTCTGCTCAAATTTCATCTCCTAAGGCTTTCCCTGAACCCCTCTGGTACTTTCCATTGCTCTCCATCCCTTTATTGAGATTTAATTATCTTCATAGCACTGATGACCTCTCCCATATATATTTTGAAAGTACTTGTTTATTAAAGTCTATCTTGTCCTGCTGAAATGAGTCCCCCGAGAGCAAAAGCTGTGTCTGATTTGTTCACTGCTACATCCCGATCCCCTACGGCAGTTGGCTGACCAGGGAGGGGCACTCATCTGCCCGTTGAAGGATGCTTTCTGCTTCAGCTCCCTTTCCCTTCCATTTTGCTCATCAGAGATGGTGAGGAACTGCCTGCTTCCCTTGTAACATTCATTTAAGGATGACCTGTGCCAACGTAAGGAAAACTTAGATCAAGACGCTAACCTGCAGAACTTTAAGAGTAAAGACATGAAGGCCACTCTGTTTTCTTGCTGGTGACTTGAATCGAGCTTCCTGCTGTAAGAAGGAAAGATTCCGCAATGAGCAACACACTGTCATTTCCACAGCTTGTATCAAAGATCAGCCTGGGAAGCGCTGGTTGCATTTGTTTGGCAGAACTCTTGTTTTTCTAGTAATCTGAACACCGACTCCCTTTACCTTCTCAGTGTCAGACAGCTGGCGCAATGGCTGAAATCTTTCTATTGTCCTCTCTCAGCACAAACTGTCCTGGAACTGCAGAATTCTATTCTATGTCTGTTGCTTACCCTTCCATTCATATCCTTCACATAATTACCACACGACTTGGACATATCCTTTCTCTACTTTACCTGCTTATAGAGAGGTATAAAAGAAATTTGCTTTAAAAGGATTAGGGGCCAGGCGAGGTGGCTCATGCCTGTAACCTCAGCATTTTGGGAGGCCGAGGTCAGTGGATTACTTGGGGTTAGGAGTTTGAGACCAGCCTGGCCAATATGTCGAAAGCCCATCTCTACTAAAAAATACAAAACTTAGCAGGGCGTGTTGGCTTGTACCTGTAATCTCAGCTACTCAGGAGGCTGAGATATGAGAATCACTTGAATCCAGGAGGCAGAGGTTGCAGTGAGCCAAGATTGCACCATCACATGCCAGCCTGAGTGACAGAGCAAGACCCTGTCTCAAAAAAAAAAAGATTAGGAAGCTGAAGTTGCATATGGAGCACCCAAATTGGCTCCTCATGGGAGGACAGGGAGTTAGGAAAGTTGGATATAATGTTTTAGGGCCCAACCTTCCTGCTGCATTTCCCTGACAAGACATGATAAAAACTAAATATACACAAAAATATCCCCACTACCCCAAAAACTTCTACGAGATAAGAAAATAACACTACCAACCAATAGCTCGGCCATAAGATAATTGCCCAGCATTGTATCAGTGGAGAGCAGGTCCTCTATAAAGACACCAGTGAAAGAGTATGGCTTCGGGAGGTGGGAGTTACTCATATCAGGCTTGGACTGGGCAGGTTCAGGAGCCCCTTCCAGACCAACTTGGCTGAAGAGGCTAGAAGGTTGGAGATGGCTCATCCTTTCCCTCTCTTGCAGGCAGTCCCCTCTCCCACCTCACCCCCATGCTGGTTACCCTTAGATTCCTCAGATGTTCCTACCCACTCCCATTGAGCAAAATTTAAGGAATTCCCCCTTGGATCCCTCTGATGTGCCCAGTGACTAGTCAGTCTCTCCTCATTCCTTAGGCTAGGCTTCTCAAAGTCAGGTGCACAGATCACCTGCTTCTGAATGACCTGGGGTGTCTTTTTCAAAATGCAGATTTCTCACACCTGTAATCCCAGCACTCTGGGAGGCCAAAGTGGGCAGATCACAAGGGCAAGAGATCGAGACCATCCTGCCCAACATGGTGAAACCCCATCTCTACTAAAAATACAAAAATTAGCTGGGTGTGGTGGCGTGTGCCTGTAGTCCCAGCTACTTGGGAGGCTCAGGCAGGAGCATCGCTTGAACCCAGGAGGTGTTGGTTATAGTGAGCCAAGATCCTGCCACTGCACTTCAGCCTGGGCGACAGAGTGAGACTCCGTCTCAAAAAACGAACAAACAAACAGAAAACAAAATGCAGATTTCTGGACAACAGCTCGGACCTGCAGAATCCGAAATTCTGGGGCTGGGGTGAGAAGTGCACAGCAGCTTAGTAACTTCTGCCTCAGTGTTCAGTTTTTACTTAGTACCCTGACACTACTCTTAGTTCCTGACTCTACTGGTATGATTTTGGGACTTGCGGGTAAGCCAACTTTTTGTGCCTCTGTTCTTCTGACCCTGTCGCCACACCCCTCTTCTGCCTCCCATTTCCCAGGACTGTGGACCTATTTCATTTCTCCAAGAATGAAGTTTCCTTCTTCCGCTATGCAATACTCCTTTCTAGAAATTCGCCTTTCATCTCTTTCCTTGAATCAGAGAGCTGCCCTGTTTTTGCGAGATGTTGCAGTCCTCGGCATTCCCCCCACCCCGCGCTCCGGGGTTCAGAAGGAACTGGGTGGAAGACAGGGCCTCCATTTTAGAAAGGGGCGTGAGCAGACAGGGACCCCACGGCAGGAAGCACAATTAAGAATGTTCCCAGCAGGAAGGCTGCTCTCCGGGAAGCACAGAGAGCTGTCAAGACAAGTGACCTTTCTAATCACGCCTGACATTTCACAGCCTCGAAGGCGGAAGAACTGCCCTTATTCTGGAGGCGCGGTGTCGCGCTGTGTCACCCCCAGACACCTGCGTCTGAGCTGCGCTGACTCGGCCTCCAACCGGGTGATGAATCAGAGCAGCAAAGAGCTTTGTTTCCCAGGAAAAGAGGCAACATTGAGCAGGGGGCTTATGTGGATGGCGACTGTGTCTAAACCAGGGATAGAAAGGCCCTGGTGGAGCGTATCGCCTCCCGTAGGGATTAGCCTGGCTCTGGAGGGCTCTGGTGATGTGGATCAAACAGGCCTGCTCCCAGGAAGCGAAATAGACGGGATCCTCTTCCAGCTCCTTCTGGCCTAAGGCGACTGGGATGACTCACTTTGTACTCATCTCAATAAGAAAACAGCTTAATTTTTCATAGTATAAACAGGAATGCACACTCATTCTAAAAAGGTCATATAAAGATAAAAAAAGTGAAAGTTACATGTAATCTCATTGCTTAGAGAAATCCATTGTCAACATTTTAAGGACATTTCTATGCATATATACGGTATTTTTTTTTTAAACAGTTTTTTATTCATCCTTCGCCACCGCCGCGGCCGCCGCCGCCGCCTCCTTCTCCTCCTCCTCCTCCTTTGCACCATCAAACTTTCCTTTCGACTTATAGTCAGCAACATCCTTCTCATGCTTCTCCTTCAGCTTTGCCGCCTTAGTGATGGAAGGCGGCTTTTCCCTGTCATTTAGGTTCTTCCACATCTCACCCAGCTTTTTTGCCACGTCTCCAATAGAGATGCCAGGGTTTGTGGATTTGATTTTGGGGTGGAATTCTGAGCAGAACAGGAAGAAGCCAGACGGTGGCCTTTTGGGGGCATTAGGATCCTTCTTCTTCTTGCCTCCCTTAGCTGGTCCATAATCCTTCATTTCCTGATCATAGCGCACTTTATCCGCCTTTGCCAGTTCATCAAATTTAGATTTCTCTTTCCCGGACATTGTCTTCCACCTCTCAGGGCATTTCTTGGAAAATTCTGCAAAATTAACAGGGACCTCTGGGTTTTTCTTCTTATGTTCTTCTCTGCACGTCTGCACAAAGAAGGCATAAGCAGACATCTTGCCCTTTGGTTTCTTGGGGTCACCTTTAGCCATCCTGACTGTATTGTTCGCTCGTCTGGGCAGCATATATACGATATTTTAAAACAAAATGCAGCCCTATCGAAAGTGCTGTTTTGTAAGCTGCACTTTTCTATTCAACGTCTTGAACGCATTTTCATGTCAATAAAATATAAATTTAACAAAATACTTCTTAAGAATTTCACTGTATCCCATCGTATGAATATAGTCTCCTGAGGTTGTCTGATTTCAATCCATAATAGAATATACTGTAATGAACATCCTGACAGTTATATTTTTCTGCAGAACTGAGAGTGCTTCCTTAAAACAAATTCCTAGCAGGAGACTTGCTGAGTTGAAGAGTACGTGTATTTTTTAAGGCTTTTGTTCTCTGTTTTCTAGAAACCTTATACCAATACACATTCCCTCCAACTAGCAGACAGTAGAATACCTGCTTCTCCACACTCTCCTTGATTCTGTGAATTACCATTCTTTTAAATCTTTGCCAATCTCAGGTGTAAAAAATAGTATGTCATTATTGTTTTCAGGTTTATGTCTCTATTTACTAGAGCTAAGAAGATTTCCAATGTTATTGATTATTTGTGTTTCTTGTTTTGTGAATTTGCTTGACCTTTTTTCCCCTCTTTGGGAGTATTAATTTTCTGATATTTGGTTTTATAAGTATTTTCAATCTAGTAAAGATGATAATATGTTGACATTCAAGTTATAATGATTTTTACCAGTTTACCATTTGTCTTTAGTTTTATGTGGTTTCTGCCATGAAGAATTTAAAAATTCTGATGTCATCTGACTACTGTGGTTCCAGCTTTTTTTGGAATCACATTTAGAAAGGGCTTCTCTGTTCCATGGTTGTAAAAATATTTATCTGTGTTTTCTTTATAGCTCTGTCAACTCTCATGGTCTTCCTACCACTTGCCCCCTCTGCCTGGAATGATCTTCCTTTACTCTTCAACTGAGTGGCTCCTTCTCATTCCTCAAATCTCAAAGTAAATACCATCTGCTTAGAGAAGTCTTTCCTGGTTATATAACCTAAAGAAGGTTTCTCTTAGCATCCTATTGTTTTCCTTTATAACTTTTATCAAGAACTGTAGTTACAGGCCGAGCTCAGTGGCTCATGCCTGTAACCCCAGCACTTTGGGAGGCTGAGGCAGGTGGATCACTTGAGGCCAGGAGTTTGAGACCAGCCTGGCCAACATGGCAAAAACTCATTTCTACCAAAAATACAAAAATTAGCCAGGTGTGGTGGTGTGTGCCTATAATACTAGCTACCCAGGAGGCTGAGGTAGGAGAATTGCTTGAACTCTGGAGGCAGAGGTTGCAGTGAGCTGCGATTGCATCACTGCACTCCAGCCTGGGCCATGGAGTGAGACTGTCTCAAAAAATAAAAATAAAAATTGTAGTTATATAATTTGTCTACTTATTTAATATCGGCACCCCTAACTAGATTGTACACTCCGTGGAGGGCAGAAACCATATCAGTTTTGCATTTTAAGAATCTAACCTAGCAACTGGTACACAGTAGATGTACAAAAGACATTTGTTAAAATTTATTGGATGACAAATTCATCTAGAATTTATTTTGGTATAGGTGTAGAGACCTAATTTAAGTTTTTCTAAACAGTATCTTGTGATTTAACACATAACGAAACGCAGACTAGCTGTTTTATAGTCTCCTTTCACCTGGCACCAAGAAATGAGACCTAGGATGCAAGAGGGAAATAGAATCAATGGCTCTTGTTACTGCTGTTCTCCAGCCCCACTGTCTCTTCTCTCTGCAGTGACTTCCCTTTCTCCATTATTGCCTTAGCCCTAAGTGCTTCCCATAATGCTTGTTTCAGGGCTTAGATTAGAGTGGATCCTTAATTAATGGTATTTACTGGCTGGCTCAAATCATTTAAATGGCAGGAGAATCAGATATCTTTGATGTGTTTCATACAATATTCACATCAGCCTTTGAAAGCCCTGAAAAATCTATGCCCCCTTCACAACCCTGAGAAAGTAGACGTCTCTATACCCTTTCCTTATCTGGGGATCATGTCCAATGGTTGTGAACAAAGATGAAAGAGATGGAGAGCTGTCAGAGACAGAAAGAGGAAGATAGGGACACTTGCTTGCATGTGATTGTAAAGCTTCAAGTGCCACCTCATGTTACATGCCATTTGCTCCTTCAAAACTGACCTGTGAAGTAGGTATGGGAGCTTTACAATCAGGCCTAGAGAAGCCATACCTTTCAGTCTTTAGAATTTCATATCAGTAATTTTTTTTTCTAATCTATGAAAGTAACACACTAGGAATAAAATAGTAAACGAATCAATTTTACTCCATTTAAAACCTGTTTTAATGAACTAAAAATGTTCAAATTTACTAATAATCAAAGGAATGCAACTTATAAGAGAAACTAGGTGCCATTTGCCTCTAAAATCAATGGAGGTCACATAGAGGAACCAAATTTATTCAATTTAAAAATTGTTTTGTCAACATAGATCAATGGAACAGAATAGAGAACCTAGAAATAAAGCCACATACCTACAACAAATTGATCTTTGACAAAGTCGACAAAAAATAAACAATGGGGAAAGGACACCCTATTCAGTAAATTGTGCTGGGATAACTGGCTAACCAGGTGCGGAAGAATGAAACTGGACCCCTCTCTCTCACCATACACAAAAATTAACTCAAGGTGGATTAAAGACTAAATGTAAGACCTGAAACTATAAAAATCCTAAAAGAAAGCCAAGAAATAGCTCCCCAGACATTGCTAAGAATTTACAATGAAGACCCCAAAAGCAAATGCAACAAAACCAAAAATAGACAAAAGGGACTTAGACCAAAAAACTTCGCACAGTGAAAGAAAATAATCAACAGAGTAAACAGACAACCTATAGAATGGGAGAAAATAATTGCAAACTATGCCTCTGACAAATGACTAACATCCAGAATCTACAAGGAACTCAAACAACTCAACAAGAAAGAAACAACTTCATTAAAAACTGGGCAAAGGACATGAATAGACATTTCTCAAAAGAAGACATCCAAGCAGCTAACAAACACATGCGAAAATCCTCAACATCATTAATCATCAGAGGAATGCAAATTAAAACCACAATGAGATATCATATTATAATAGTCAGAATGGCTATTAATAAAAAGTCAGAAAACAACAGATGGCATGGATATGAAGAAAAGGAAATGCTTATACACTGTTGGTGGGAATCTAAGTTAGTTTAACCTCAATGGAAAACAGTGTGGAGGTTGCTCAAAGAACTAAAAATAGTAGTGCCAGTCAACCCAGCAGTCCCCTCTGGGTATCTACTCAAAGGAAAAGAAATCATTATATTGAAAAAGACCAGTACTTGTGTATTCATCGCAGCACTGTTTACAATGTCAGAGTCATAGAACCAGCTCAGGTGACCATCAGCATCTGACTAGATAAAGAAAATGTGGTATATATACACCTTGGAATACTATACAGCCATAAAAAGAATGAAATCATGTTCTTAGTCACAACATGGATGAAGCTGGAAGTCATTATCCTAAGTAAAGGAACTCAGACACAGAAAACCACATGTTCTCAATTATAAGTGAGAGCTAAACAATGGGTACATATGGACATAAAGATGGAAATAATAGACAATGGGGACTCCAGAAGGTGGATAAGGGTTGAAAAATTATCTGATAGACACAGTGTTCACTATTTGGGAAACAAATATGCTAGAAACTCAATCCCCACCAGTACACAATATACTTATGTAACAAACATGCACATGTATTCCTAAATCTAAGTTAAAATAAAATTTAATAAAATATCATTTCATCAAACCTAAAAAAAACTTATAAATAATCAATGGATACAACTTAAAATACCATTTGCTCCTAACACATTGATTATAGTATAAAAATTGCAATACTTAATCCTGAGCAGAAAGCGATAAGACCAGAGCTTCATACACTATGGAAGGGAGAATAAATGACAAAATCATTTCTGGGCTGGAATTTGCTAAGAAGATGCAAGAACCTTACAAGAGTCCTTACTCTTGTGCGAGCCCAAAATAATTTTAAAAAGTTCTTACCCTACTGATTTCTAATCCTTATTTATTTATTTATTTGAGATGGAGTCTCACTCTATCACCAGGCCAGAGTGCAGTGGGTGTGATCTCGGCTTACTGCAACCTCCACCTCCCGAATTCAAGCGATTCTCCTGCCTCAGCCTCCCAAGTAGCTGAGACTACAGGTGTGCACCGCCATGCCCAGCTGATTTTGTATTTTTAGTAGAGACAATGTTTCACCATTTTGGCCAGGATGGTCTCTTTCTCTTGACCTACCCACCTTGGTCTCCCAAAGCATTCTAGTCTTATTTCTATCAATCTTTATTAAAAATGTTTAAACTGTGGTTTAAACATTTTGTTAAACAATTTTTATTTTAATAAAGATTTATAAACAATCTTTATTAAAAATGTTTAAACTTTCTCAAAAATTTGAGAAAACCTAAGTGTTTGACAATAAAGACATGATTTATGGCTGACAGCAGTGGCTCATGCCTGTAATCTCAGCACTTTTGGAGGCTAAGGCAGGTGGATCACTTGAGGCCAGGAGTTCAAGACCAGCCTGGCCAAACATGGTGAAACCCCATCTCTACTAAAAATACAAAAATTAGCTGGGCATGGTGGTGCATACCTGTAATCCCAGCTACTCGGGAGGCTGAGGCAGGAGAATCGCTTGAACCTGGGAGGCAGAGGTCGCAGTGAGCCAAGATCGTGCCACTGCACTCCAGCCTGGGTGATAGAGTGAGACACTGTCTTAAAAAAGTAAATAAAAAAACAAAAAAAAAAGTGATTTAAAAATTTAGGATCCAGCCACAGCATGGACCATCACCAATAATATTTCCAAGAATTACTTAATGGCATGGGGTATGCTCCTGAATCTAATAAGTATTCAGAATTTGATTCTAAAGTTTATTTTTAAATTATATATATATTTGTACAGAGAAAAGATTAGAGGAGAGATAATAAGATATTAGCAGTGCTTAT